TACTCATTTGTTTTATTATCATAATCATCATCAGTACTGGGCAATGAAAAATAATGTACAGTATTCTATATTCTTATATTACAGTATATTTTTATGATCCAAAATTTATATCATTTGAGACAATTTTCAAAGTAGTTGCATTAAGACATAACTGTATTGTATTATTTTTGTGAAACTAAAATAGATGTAAGAAAATAAACAAACATTTTTGAAAAAACATTGGCACTTAAATTTAAATATTACAAATTAAACAATATATAATATACATAGTATATTATTTTATATAGATATAAAATTACATACACATCTTGTAATAAAACAAAAAAAACATTACAGTATTATAATTAGAGTAATCTATACTATTTTTCTTTGTGCTTAAGACAATCATATAAAACTTACATTTACTAGTTATATATTTGAAACATAATAGATCTAAAAAAAAAAGATAATTAAATTAATGATTAATCCACAACTTGACTTGACTCAGATCATCTAGTAAGCAGCTTCTTGAACAAAGCAAATTGAAAATGAACAATTTTGGAAAACATTCATTTTCATGTGCTGCCCCTATACATTATTATGGAATGCCTTACCCACTGACATTTGTTTACCTTCAAGTGTTTTTTTCTTTTTAAGAAAAGGTTAAAAGTATTAACTTTTTTCGATCGCCTACTAAGTAATTGATACAGAAACGTAGTGTAAATAGATTTTTTTCTTTTACAATTTCATAAGTTCAATTTACCATCTGCACTTTGAGTAATGCCAACGTCATAAGAGCCACTGAAGATTGCATCTGCTGTGGATACTATCGCTTTACAAATTTCTATTGATTGATTGATCCACATCTAAATTAATAATTTAATTTATTGATGAGAAGAAAGTAATTACCAGTAATATTTTGAATAGAATGATCTGTTCGAAGCATGAACTCCTGTAGACCAAACCCAGTACCATTACAAGTTTTAATCGTACAGGAAATTTGAGGATTATCGACTTGCAATCATTGGGACAGAGGCACAGGACAGGATTCTTTTTCAGCTTGCGACACCTCTAGGTTCTCCATGGAAAACTTACATCTTTGACATAAGGTGTAGCAAGGGTTTTGCCAAACTAAAATCATTGACACTGGTAAGCCAGGATCCACCATCCATTACAAACACTGTTCCTGTAACGTAGGCTGCAGCAGGGCTAGCTAGGTACAGAACGCCTTCAGCGATCTCCTTTTTGGTACCATATCGCTGAAGGGGAATTGAACTTGCACTAGACTCCTGGAGCTCTCCACCTGAAAAAATTTTTAGAAATACAAATCTTTATTTCCAAAAATATCCACAAATTCAAAGTTTAGAAATAGGTAAAATGGGGGTGTCTAGAAAACTCAGACCTCGGATCTCATCTAAAAATAATGGTATGATTTGTTAATTTAAAGATCATATCTGAGTTTCCTAGAACTGGAGATACTTCTATGCTAACTAGAATATGTGCCAAGTCATTACTTTATTAGCATTTTTCTAAAAGGGGTTTTATTGAGATACAAACATGTCCTGTTGTAAAGGTACATAGAGTAATGGGTAATGTTAAACTTTGTATTGGTTAAAAACGTACATTACTATTGGTTTTCCCCCGGATGTGTAGAATAAAACATTAAGGATTGATTGAATAATTTTAGTTACCTAGTCTTCGGATGCCCTCCGTTTTCTCTACTGGTCCAGGGGAGAGGGAAACTACACGAATACCTTGATGTCCCCACTCCACAGCGAGATGTTTGGTCAATGCGTCTGAAAGTCCAAAAAAAAAAATTAATTGCATTCAAGTTTTGTCAAGTGTTGCATATGCCAGTGATGGTTTAAAAAAATGCGAACAGGGGTTCATTAA